TTGAAGGAGAAAGAATAAAAATGTTTCTTTATTTACGATTGTGAACAGATCAAGAGCAAACAAGCAACTAGTGCTTCCAGCAGATGAAGCAGAGGGAAAGCGCACAGAGAGGCAGAGAGGCAGGGCTCTCTCTGAATTCTGAGGTGGGAAGGAACACTGGTTAGTGTTGGATAGACTGACAGTCACCCTTGCCCAGAAAGGTTCATCCCAACCACATGTACTCCAGGCAGTATGTGAAGTTGTTTAAAGTCCAAGAAGATATGGTTCCAATTTATCTGGAATCATCTTAATTCCAAATGTCCCAGGCAGTGATAGTGGAATGGTAGTAGCATGACAGGAGCAAGGTAGACTCCTCCCCCATTGGACATGAATTGAAAACCAAACCATGAACTGGTTAGGTTTTCTGTTTGGTTCATGGTGGTTCTTGGCTAACCACGAATCATGAACCATTACAAACCGCCGTTTTTAAGGTTTGGACTTGTGGGGCTTGCTGTCCAAAACACCCAGAGGGACAAAGTCTGCCCATTCCAATTTTATAGAGATGTTCTTTCCAACATGTTATTAAATGGACTGTAAAGGCTAATTCCCCTTAGCCTTCCCTGTTTGGTTGCTTTGTTTTTAACCTGGTTTGCTATCTCGTACTGGTCTCATGTTGGATTTTATCCCTCTGTTTAGCCTTAGTGTGTGTGTGTATATTACCGAAATCTCTCTTGACAGCACAGCACCCTTAAAAATGACTTATCCCCCCCCTTCATTAAAAAAAATGAATAAAATCAGGCAATAGTTCAGTTACAAACTTCTAGTACTAAATCTACAGGTTCTAGGGAGCCATCTTGTGGTTTCAAAATTAATCTTAAAAGGGGGAAAGAATAGAATGCCCTCCACCAACAGCAAAACAAATGAAAATATCAGTCATTTATCAGACTATTTCATTCTCTAGACATTTTAACAAAAACATTATATGTTTCTGTACATAATGACAATGACAATTATTGGGTTTTTGTTACCAGAATTAAAACATGTATCCTATAAGGAAATTAATGGCTTTTACAAGAAACAGTATGACCGTTTTAGTTTAGGTTTGCTAGGAAAGCAACATCCCTGTCCTTCACATTTCAGTGCCAACACTAGAGACCAGGAGGATGGGACCTTATGATGCCATGGGACGGGGCAGGCAAGAATGGAGATAAAATGGCTCTGAACCAGATGTTGTGGAAAAGGGCATGGGAGGAATCCAGGACTCTGGGCCCAGAACTCAGATAAAATGACCATGTAATATGGCAACTAAGAAGGCAACTCACTAATATGACAACTAAGACCATTTTTTGGCCTTAGCTAGACTTCAAAATGCAGAGCGCAACTGTAGTGTTGTCAACATTCTTGCTAGGACTAACATAACACATAATCTCGCCTGTAGCACACAAGATACATGGAGAGTTTTCCCTGGTTTCCACTGCTACTTAGGCCGGTAGAAGGTTCAGCACGAGGCTACCGGGAGTTGTTCCTCTCCCCCAACTCTGCAGGACTGATGCTACTCCTGCCAGGGCATTTGCAACAAGGAACCTACTGAGTTGTAATGCTGGTGCTCCACACCTTGCCTTACTCCACATAGTAGGATGGGCCTTAGAGCATGTACCCACCAACTCTCTCCTCAATCCTCTCCCCTTCCTCTTGGTTTTTAATTTTGGATATTTCCCCAAATATAGTGTACTATACCAACACACATTCAAATGCCTTTGTGTCAAGCCAGCAAACCATGGCAGTTGGGAATGGGTGAAGGTGGGTGCTCCCAAATCAGACCTTCTCCTCCAGTAGTGTTCACTCTTGAGACTTGCCTATCCACTTGGAGAATCTTAGCAATTCTCTGACACCAACTGGCACCTTGAGGCCTGGCAGCTCTACCTTTTTTCCCCCAGATAGCTCAGATTATTGAAACAGATGATCCTTTTTTATCATCTGTCCAGAACAGCACAAACGCTTTTGGGGAAATATCCAAAATACCCACAGTGACTATAGAAACTGATTGGGAAAGGAAGATGTTCTGTTTAATAATTCTGTAGGGAAAAGTGACTTCTGCAGGTCCATGACCATGCTGTTTTGACATGGAAGGATAAAAGGCTCAGTGGGTTGGATCATCTGGCTGAGGAGCCAAGGGTCAGGAGTTCTATTTGCCAGTATGCCTTCCAGAAGAGCCACAATGTGCAGCCCCAGACTGGATGCACAATTTCACTGGACCCCCTGAACACAGGGCTAGTAAACCATGTCCAGGTATTATATGCCTAAAATAACCCTTGGGAATGGTTCTGGTCAGAATCCTCTTCATGGCCCATAAAAAGAGAGTCATGTTAAAATGCTCTTCCACGCAACCTAGACAGGAGAGAATATCCCGTTATGATTGATATTTGCTCTTGGATTTATGAATCCAGTCTCATAATTCCAATGAATTTTTCATTGACTCTTTTCTTTATCTTCAGATGTGTGCCATGAGATATGATATTTGCTCTTGGATTTATGAATCCAGTGTCATAATTCCAATTTTTCATTGACTCTTTTATCTTCAGATGTGTGCCATGAGATAAGATGTAAGATCTTTTTGATTCTTCTCATCATGGCATGTCTTATACATCCTTCTTTGTGTGACTATTACAAGAAGTTTGTATACTGCAATCAGTATCTAAGCATGCACACAGATGAGACTTTGGATGTATAATCATGCACAACACCAATATGCAAATAAACAGCACGGATATGATGTCTGAATTTTAAGAAAGTTCTTAATGTTCACTGGTATGGTGTCAGGGCTCATGATGCACTGAAGGATATGATCTACTAGAATTAGCTTTCAAGCTAATTTCAAGTGTGGGCAGCATCACAATTCCTGAACTCACAGAGATCCCACCTGTTATGTGCCTCATTACTACAGCTGTAACAGTCAAAATTCTTTTTTATTAGCAAGCAAATACTACTGAACTATTTGCTCATCATTGTGGACAGTTCAATGTGCCTTTGCACAATACACTCATGTTGCCTGGGGACAAAGCTTGCATGAAAGACAGTGCCCAACCCATCATTTTTCCAGGCACACACATAGTGATTTCCTAAATCAAGGCCATTTGAACTTAATAAGTTTGCTGGGAAAGTTATGGCTTAGGACATATAACTGGGCCATACCCATACACACCATTCTTTTCAATACTGGGACAAATTTATAGAGCAAAATAGCCAACCAGCCTGCCAACCTATGATGAGCAACCTGAAGCCAAAATTCAAATAGAAGAAGCCAAACAAGATTTTCAAGTGCAGAAGAAACAAAAGCATGATATGGCACAAGAATAAATGCCGTAAGCATTTGCAAGCACTGCAGCAAAAAATGGTTATTGAACACTGAGCCCCACTGGGGTGAATAAAAAATACAAAATGATGTATACACAGAATGTGTATCTATCATTATTACATTTGTTGATATGTTTCTTACTCTTACTTCACACTTATCATTTTTCTAAGTCAAATCTGAAATTATATCTTATATTTTCATCCTCACAATTATAACCCATTCATGTTCTCATCTCTCATCAAATTATACCAAGGTTCCCACTTTTTTCTAGCCTCAGTAATTTGTCTTTTAATACTTCAGTTAAAATATCCATTTCTGCTGCTCTTCTATTTACCCAAATTTGTTGTTGTTTAGTCATTAAGTCATGTCTGACTCTTCGTGACCCCATGGTCCAGAGCACACCAGGCCCTCCTGTCTTCCACTGCCTCCCAGATTTTGGTCAAATTCATATTGGTAGCTTTGATGGCACTGTCCAACCATCTTGTTCTCTGTCGTCCCCTTCTCCTCTTGCCCTCACACTTTCCTAACATCAGGCTCTTTTCCAGGGAGTCTTCTCTTCTCATCAGATGGACAAAGTACTGGAGCCTGAGCTTCAGGATCTGTCCTTCCAGTGAGCATTTGGGGTTGGTTATCTGTCCTTCCAGTGAGTACTCGGGGTTGGTCTTCTTCAAAATAGATAGGTTTGTTCTCTTTGCAGTCCAGGGGACTCTCAAGAGTCTCCTCCAGCACCACAAATCAAAAGCATCAATTCTTCGGTCATCAGCCTTCTTTATGGTCCAGCTCTCACTTCCATACATCACTACTGGAAAAACCATTGCATTGACAATGCAGATCTTTGTCGGCAAGGGGATGTCTCTGCTTTTTAAGATGCCCCAATACCTTGATCCAAATACCTTTCCCTATAATCTTCCCTTCCCTAATAGAAAATGAAAAAAAAAAAGACTGAGCCCCACTGCAATGCTCAAGCTGTTTGTTTGACTTAAGGGGAAATTAAGCAAGCTACCTGCATGCACAATAGTGGCCGATCAGCAGTGTCCAATTGGTTTTAATGTCCAGAATTCTATTGCCTATTTAAGCTTCTATAAGGAAAATCATGTTAAGTCTTGGCTGCAAATTGTTACTCATTAACAAGGTGCTGGTTGCATTCCTGGCATGTGCCCAACAATGAAACAACACCTTGGTAACTGGTGGCAATCTGTTGCCAAGACTTTCCCATATGCAAGTGTGAATCAGCAACAGAAATCTAGCCAATATGATTTATTTTGGAATGTATTCTCTAGTGTAGTATAAGGAAAATGATATTCAGTGTAGTACCGTTTCACTGAAAATAAGACCTAAACTGAAAATGAGCCCTAGTATGATTTTTCAGAATGCTCGTAATATAAGCCCTACCCCAAAAATAAACCTCAGTTAAATGAAACCCCACCCTCCACCATTGTGCAGCATTGTGCAGCAACCAGAAGAAGATGACAGGATTGTATTTGAATAAATGTAGATGGTTGGACATGATAAAAATAAAACACCCCCTGAAAATAAGCCCGAATGCGTTTTTGGAGCAGAAATTAATATAAGACCATGTCTTATTTTCGGGGGGAAACGGTATAAGCATAACAGAAATCCTTGTTTCTAATAGCTCTTTAAATAAGAAACACACTCCCATTTTGTATGAAAGGGATTAAAATAAACATTTATTTTTTAAAATGCTACTTTTTTATTTTTATCTTTACTGAGGCTTTATGTTGTTGCTTTTCAATTTCAGCTGGAAAGAATTCCAAGTTAGCAAGCCCTTCGTACCTAGCTTCCAATAAAAGCATCTATTCTTTTGTAGCTGACTTGTAATGTTGTAATGTGCGAGCAGATGGATCAGTGGCCTTGATCCATCTTGGCATCCAATAGTGTGGGAGCCAATCAGAATGTCCAGGATAGTGCTTCTCAAATATCTGGCGGTAATAGTACCCTTCTTTTGTTTTTGGTGGGTTAAAGGGAAACTTATTTGGTGCCTTCTCCAACAGAGTGTCATCAACCTGCAGACAAGATGGGGGCGGGGAGAGAACAAAGAATGCAAACTATGAAAACGGAGGCATACATCTTGCAATATTCCATGAGCAGAAAGCAGAAATACAGTCACCCACCCTGCCATCATCTTTTACCATTGGCTCTAACTATGATCAAAATATCTGGGAAGCCAGCTTCCCCAATCCCACATTTATGTTACTAGAAAATCAAAAAATCTGGGACTAGGAAAAGCATTCTCCTCTCAAGAGAAATATTAGTGAGAGACAATCAACATACCCATAACACTACCTTAACTCCTTTTAATCATGGCTTAACCCCTTTACTTGCACAGAAAGTGCAATCTATATGGATCAGGAAAATAACTTCTCTTCTGGGGTTTTGATTTTTTAAGTTCTCTGACATGATATGGACTCTGCTGGCAGGAAGGGAATGAATTCTCTCCTATCAGATAGTTTGAGAAATAACAGCTGTTCTGTGATTCAATCTAGATATTCTGAGCATAATTTTGTCTATAATACAATCTTGCAATACATGCAGTCACTCAGAATCACAGAACTGTAGATCGGCAAGGGATCTCCAAGTCCATCCTTCTGATGCACAAGAAGCCAACATTTAAAGCATCCCTGACAGCTTTTTAAACTTTGAATCATATCAAGTTCTGTTAATGCTAAGGGGGACAATCAATAGGGCACATGAACTGTATGCAGCCAGCAAAGACACCCCTTCCCCAACTGATTGCTTAACAGAGAACAAGAGCCATCCACAACTCCTTGCGTTGACTGGAGAAAAAGTGATCTGTACACGAGATGAATGAATGAATGAATAGTACTTTTATCTTCTTTTAAAAAACAACACACACAAAAACCTCACTCTTCTTCAACAGCATGTTGTCATTAGCCATGTGAAGATTCAGTGGGACTGTCCTCTTCCCAGCATGGGAACTATTACCACATCTGTATTCCAGGTCATTTAAACCAGTGGTTCCCAATCTTGGGTAATGCAGGTGTTCTTAGACTGCAACTCCCAGAAACCTTCACCACCAGCTGTTCTGGCCAGGGTTTCTGGGAGTTACAACCACTGATCTGAGCACAATCCTTTCCCAACCCTTTGCCCGACTGAATGTTGAACATCATTTCCACCACTGCCAGCTGAGAGCAGCAGGAATGGTCATACAGCCCATCTGGAAGGTGTCAGGCTTGAGAAAGGTCCTGGAAGCAATTAGTACAATAGACTGTGGGAACCTTCTTCTGGAAATGCTTCTCTAACACAAGGTATATGGGGAGGGCACTACAGCTGGCAAAAATATCCACAGGTCCGAGCTAAGAGTTGCCAACTTTCCATGTAACAAGCAACTGATGCCTCAACTATCTTCAGATAAAAACATCAGAGGGCAATGTAATGGTGAAAGCTTCAGGTTAAGTCTTGGGAGAAACAAATCAAATCTATATCGAGCACCCTCTTAGTGAGTGAACCGGATCTGCTCCTTATCTCCTATCCTAACCTACTTCACAGATTGGCAAAAGAAAAAAAAAAGAATGAATCAAAATACTGTAGCACTAGAAAGACTATATCCATTGTGAGCTTTTGTAAATCAAAGTCCACTTCCACAGACACTGGGATGCAAATATATGACCTGTAATTTTATGTCACCATGACCAGGAGAGAACAGAGATCATGGGGATTTATATAAAATTACAGACCAAATATTTGCACTCCTGTGTCTGAGGAAGTGGACTTTGAAGCCACACTGAAATTGTTAGCCTTTAAAGTCCTACAATATTTTGTGTGCTTTTTCTTTGTCAACATGCTGAAACAGACTAAAACTTCTTTGGAAAGTGCTACTTTATAGTGTTAGGGCGAAGATAAAATGCAGAAGGGAAGATAACTACATATAGTGTTGTGATCTCTTAATGAATAAGAGCAGCATATAGAAATATGCTCACTGTGTCCAGAAAAAGAAAACAATTTCTCTAAGTGTCTGACCTGTTGCGTTAAGAAAGATAAATATCTAACATGAAATAGCATACCTGAATATCAATATAATCTTGCAATATTGAGAACCATGATTTCTTGACAGAGGTTAAGCCATCACTGAAGGCTTCTTTGGGTCTCCAGAGTATTTCTTTAGGCAATAAGTTAGTATCTTCGAAGGCCTCTCTTAAGAGATGTTTTTCAATGCCATTCTGTTAGGAGAGATCATCAAACCATCATCCACTAAAGTCTGACTTTCTCAAAACTATCACCTAAACCAGAAATTACATGCTTTCAAATAGCACTTTATCCCCATATCCCACCAGAGTTAAAAGCCAACTACCCGATCTTCTGGAATAGAGTACTTAACTTGGATTCCAAATCTGTCTTTTTCCAAAGACATGTTGAAGTCAACAGCACCCATCATAAGTGTGTTAATCAAAAGCTAAGTCCAAAATTAGTTTCCGAGCTTGATCATTAAATACTGTGTATCTTACCTTTGGTACTCTAAGTTCTGGTGGCAAAGACAAGTAATATGCAGTAAACTGGTGATCTAAAAATGGAACTCTTAATTCAAGACTGAAAAAAGAAAGAACATGAAGGGAAAAGTGTATTTATGTAAACAGTGTTTGAGGGCATATAAACACAAAAGCTGCTAAAGGAAGTCACCCATGGCTGTAACTGCATTATAATCTTTTTGTTTCTATCATTTCAATCTAAACAGATCCCTCAACTCTTGTCAGTGTGGATGATTCAAGACTGTAGTTGTGGGTTCTGTGGCTCTCAAGAGGTTGTTGGATTACAACTCCCATCAACCCCAACTAACTTGAACAATGTGGAATGGTACAAGTACCAGTCCAAAAACATATAGCCAGTGGGACGTAAATAATTTCATTTGCTGGACAAGAGATCTTTATTCGTCTTCTACCTAGAACTTTCAAATCTCACTGGGGAAGCATTTTAGCACTGTTAAGGAAATAGTTTCTATTTCACTTGGAATTACCATCACCACCACCATGTTATTTCTTTATTTAGGAAAACACTAATTAAATCAAACTAATAGCTTGATAACCAACTTAAGCCACAATGACAATACATTCCATTTCACCACGACCACACTGCCAATACCAGTGAAGGTCCACAGATGAGCATTACCCATGAGCAGCTGTTGTCCTGTCAGCACGGAGAACATCAAACAGATAGAGTTCTCTTAGGAGCCTCTCACTTTCTTCTGCAGCTTCTTCAGCAGTAGGTGCCTACATGAAAGAAGAGACAGGCATGGAGATCAGTTTCATCTGGAACTACTTGGGCCGCTCAGAAATCAGATCTTACAAAGGTTGGATTCTTTAGGACAATAACACCCAGGGACCATGCTGGCTGGGTAGATTCTAGGTGATATAGTCCAGAAAAGTAAATTTTCCATGCTCTGAGAAGAACAGACAATGGGGTGGTGGAGGTGCTTCACTGATGCTTCTGCTCTGGAGTAACATGGCTGCTGTCACTCTCTTATTGTGGTGCATTCATATAGAAGGATTACTGTTGTGTTACGTATTTACCTTATGAAAATAGATATACCCTTGTGTCAGCTCGTCTGAACCTTCTCCTGAGAAAATGACTGCACTGTCGGTTTTTTTCCTGATATACCGTGAGACCAGATACATACCTATAAAGATAAATCGACCCCTTTGTGATTATACTGGCACAGAATGATGTGTGTGTGTGTACTAGAAATCATACATTTCAGAGCCCCTTCTAAGATCACAGGTTTTTTTCTCATAATCATTTGTAAGGAATACATTTAATATTTGCTAATATGCAACTATTGCAGTAGAGGAATGGATTCAAAGAGGCACTATAACAGGGTGTGGCCTTGTCTACAACTGTCCACCCATCCCTTCTCTGCTCTTTTTTAAGCTCCTGGAGGCCTCCAGAAGCAATGGTACTCCTTTAAAATGCAGCCCAGGGTCCTTCTCTGCCTTATTTTTGTCCCCGCAAGAAGGCCAATAAAGAATAATGGTGTTTATGCAAGTCCAAGAATCTGGAATAATACTGCTTGGATATGACATTTTATTTGTCCACAGAACATCAGAAAGAAACGATCTGAACAATGCAATCTGGAATAATACTGCTTGGATATGACAACATTTTATTTGTTCACAGAACACCAGAAAGAAACTATCTGAACAATGCAGAATAAACCCAACTCATCTGCTAAATTATCTGCTAAGTGACTTTAAGGGTCCATGAGCCGGCTACCTGGGATTTGAACCCCAGGTCGTGAGCACAGTTTTAGCTGTAGTACAGCGTTTTAACCACTGCGCCACGAGGCTCTAAGTGACTTTAAGGGTCCATGACTGATATCAAACCCCTGTTCAAATTTAAATTTTGGTTCCCACAAATGCAGAATGATGAAGGCAATATACAGTCACTTATAACTATGTGGAGATGTGGTAAGAAGCTGCCTTAAACAAACAGAGAAAAGAAAATTAATAGAGCTAGATAGGCTACACATTGCCCCCCCAGCAAGCTGGGTACTCATTTTACCGACCTCGGAAGGATGGAAGGCTGAGTCAACCTTGAGCCGGCTACCTGGGATTTGAACCCCAGGTCGTGAGCACAGTTTTAGCTGCAGTACAGCGTTTTAACCACTGCGCCACGAGGCTCTAAGTGACTTTAAGGGTCCATGACTGATATCAAACCCCTGATGAAATTTAAATTTTGGTTCCCACAAATGCAGAATGATGAAGGCAATATACAGTCACTTATAACTATGTGGAGATGTGGTAAGAAGCTGCCTTAAACAAAGTGAACAGAGAAAATTAATAGAGCTAGATTCAATTTTTTGTAAGTGAATAGATAAAGTAGCATTATCTTACCCACTGAGGCTCGCACAGTGGTGATATCGTATGTTTCCAAGGAAAATATAACATCGTCTAGTGCCTGAATCCCTTCTTCAGAATTGAAAATGACTTCATGATGTTCACTCCCAATATGAGCCGCTACCTGTAGATAACAACTGATATTCAAAGGTGCTATAAAGCTGTTGAATTCGATTTAATCCCAATGCCCAAGCTGCATCTATAATGAACAAGGAGCTTATCCTTAGTCAAGGCAGTGTCTATTTTGATCAATTAAAGTCAAATGTTCACAATTAAATTCTGCTCTGAAATAATCCCAGTACTGAATCAAAGTTGGATTCTACAACCAATATGTTCTACAAATTAGCTTATTTAATGCTGTTTCTGCCAGTTATGGATCAGACCAACGCTTAGAAAAGTTTCCCTGTTTTGAACAATCACTCACAGAATCTCCAGCCAGTATTCCATGGTTGTAGTTCAAAAAAGTAACTTTTCTAAACTCTAGCAAGGCATTGAAGTTTAAAATAATATTAATATTTTGGGATCAGCCCAAAACTCTGTCTCATAGCATCTTGTTTCCGCAGTGATCAGCTAGATGCCTCTAGGAAGCTTACGGAGCATAATGAAATCAACTTTGTCAGATTAAAATCATACATTATATTAAAAAGTCTCTTTTTGGTCTATATTGAATGAAATGCCAGTCACTACTCCTTTCCCAATTATTGTTCACACTACCATATAGATACGGTATATGGATTGCTAACAGCACTATCTGGATCAGAAAAAAGGTGTTGTCTGCTTGTGTTTCTAATTAGAATGATCCACCATTCCCCTTTAAGAGTTGTCCCACACATTTCTGACATAGGGCAAGGGCATGCATTCTTTTTGGCATGATACAGAGCCCAGCAGATTCAGGGGGCAGGAGGGAAAGAGCAGCCCAGGAGGCCAACCAATACCGGAAAAGGCTCCTCAGCAATCACTCCCTTGGAAGCAAATACTACACACAGGTTCAGCGCAGCATGGTGGCTGCACAGCACCCTGAAGGCTGGCATTGCCTTCGCCACTGCAGCTGCAGAGCATCCAAGCAGCAGTGACAGTGGCAATGGAGGCAATCAGCTGAGAAGTGGACAGGAACAGCTGACAGGCTGCTGTGAGCCCCTCCGACCCTGGTGCCAGCTTCCTGCCTCCGCGAGCCAACTGTGGAGTGGAGCTGAGAGATGGCAAGCAGCTGAATGAGAGTCAGGGAGTCCCTCCAACACCATGGGCAGCTTCCCACTCTCATTGATCAGCTGGGATGTGGAGAGGAGCAGAAGAGAGGCAAGGAGCCTCTCTGACACCACAGCCAGCTTCCTGCAAGCCTCAAGATCCCAGTGTGGGTGGAAGGATCACATAAAAGAGAGTTTAAAATAGACTGTGCAGAAGATAAGGACTTCTTAAGCATGGCCATGATCATACCAAATCTCAGTGTGGACAGTCTTTTACTCTGTCTTGTAAGGATTCAGTCAGATAGCCACAGACATTCCAGACTATCCTGGCAGTGCTAAGGTCCGCAACTTTAGAAAACACACACCAAAAATGAAAGGCATGTTTTGCCAGGAGGTATATCCTGTGCCCAGCAGCATTCAGTATTGTTGTGCAAACACAGTATAGATAAACAACCCAGATAAATATCAAATATATGCCTATTAAGGCAACATATCACTGAACCTTTCTAGCAGCCAGCAAGTCAGGAGCATCTTCCATTCCAATAGCAAAGGTCTGCAACGGGTAGGTAATGTTTTGTTCCCTCATCAGTTTGATAAGCATCGCCGCAACCAAGCTAGAATCCAAACCACCTATTGAATAATAATCAACCATTGTGTCTGTTTAGCCATCTGGTTCCTGCCATTGAAAATTACATAAAGCTGACAAGCAGAAGGTGCAAGTGAAAACGGAATAAATATGCTTATTTTACGCAAAATACACGGTAGCAGCAGAGGTACTTAAGTGCTGATTAAAACTAAACCTACAAAACATTACAGACATAACAATAATAATTCCACTGCGGTGCAACCAAGTAAAAATTCAGACACATACAGTCTTCCAGATGTTTTCAGACAGTAACTTTCAACAACCTTTGCCAGCATTGCCATTGATGAGGTCTGATGGGAGCTGTAGTCCCACATTTAGACGGCCATATACACACACCTCACACAATAAAGCCATGGGACCCTATGACACAAACACGCATGCAGCTGCACACAGTATACTAGGGAAAGCATGCAATTGCTATAATGGATTGTTTCTACCTGACAAGAGACAGCCAATTCTTCTGTGAGCCATCAAACGTTTCCGAACAGCATTTTCAAACAAAATCCGGATGTTGCTTTTCACAATTTCAAGATCAAAACCTAAGAAAGAAAGAAAGAAAGAAAGAAAGAAAGAAAGAAAGAAAGAAAGAAAGAAAGAAAGAAAGAAAGAAAGAAAGAAAGAAAGAAAGAAAGAAAGAAAGAAAGAAAGAAAGAAAGAAAGAAGGCTTGTGAAATTACACTTACAAAAAGAAAATAGTGGTCTTTAATAGAAATAAACTATGGTCGAAGTCCTGTTGCTTAGCCAATTTGTAACTTTTGATCTATTTCCCCAGCAAACAAACTGCCCTGTCACAATTCTTGTGGGGGGGGGACACATGCACGCTGGCTTGGTGTATGCATGCACCCCCATCCATCAGAAGAATCACAGTAGGGATGTGTTATTTGCTAGGGATGAATGGGTTGAAAGTTGTTTGGCTTACATAAGCAATAGGATTTCAGCCTGTATAATAAATCTCAAGGCATGGCAATCTTTAACAGATGTAGGCAAACTCCCACAACATGTTTCCCATGGCCTTCCACTTCAGTTCAGAGGCCTTATGCAGCCTCTTGGACCTCTGGTAATGGTGATCTGTCTCTTGGCCAACACTGCACTGGGTGAGAAAGGCAGAACAAGGGCGGGAAGAGACAGTGAAAACTAAAGAGAAATGGGTGACCCTGCTCACTTGAGATGGCCCACCCACCTCTGACTCTGGTCCCTCTTACCGCCAGCACCATGTCCTGACAACCACACTGCCCCAGAAGGAATGCGGTCCTCAAATGTTCCCCACCCCTACCCTAGAACACAAAACGAGGTGACCGTGAAACCATTTATTCACCAAGCACCTGCCTAACAGGTAACAAAACCAGTTTCAGAGTCACTTGTTACCTGAGGGTAGATTTTGTACTAAACTGTAGGCAGCATGCAGAGGCACATCTTTGGGGCTGTGAAATTTCACCATTTCCACGGATGCAACTTTGCCGCTTGGCTTTAAATCCAACACTTCGTAATGTCCTGGAGGGAAAGGTTCCACTTTGGGCGCAAAAGACATATTGTGCTTCAAACTGGTAAGACCTATAGACAGAAGAATACACAGAGAGGGAAGGGGCATTGTGAGATTTTACCTGGATTGTTAAATTTGCAACATGTAACAGCATTAGAAGACAAATTATGGTTCTAGCCTTAGCGACTAGAAATGGCAGAAGGGGTTCAATTTTTTAATCTAGAAGCTATCTTTAAAGGAGAGGAATGTTATAAAATGGGGGTGAAGAACCCTTGGCTCTGCAGATGTTGCTGGACTCCAAAAGCCATCACTGGTCTCAGGACTTGCCTCGTGCTCTGAAGAAGAGGTGGGGGAGCTGTGTCTCTTCAGTGGTATTTGGACTGCAGTTCTCAAGAGCTCAAGCTATAGCAGTCAATAGCAAGGTCTGATGGAACTTGTCCTCTAACAGTATCTAGAAAGCCACCCATTCCTCATCCTTGCTTTAAACAAAAAATAGCCCCACAAGACTTGGGATTCTTGGAAGGAATACCCCACTGCATGGAGAGGGGATATGCTCTCCATTCTCTTATGGATATTAAAAGGATAATTAAGATCAAATTTAAACCTAACAATCATTCTGCAAGAGTCTTTTAATAGATGAGGAAACTACTGCGAATTGTTCACGCGTACACCATGTTGGCTATCATACACATGTATAAATCTATTGTGCAAAAGCAGAATGCATGCTATCTTTCTCTGTCTGCAAACAGACAGCACACTGGATTGTCAGGAAGAAATCGGACCACAGAAATCATTTCTGCCATGTTTTGGTCATGACCTGCTAGACAATAGTTTAGAAGTGGAAGCCATGTCAGTCTGTGCAAGCATATCAGGCAAAAACAAAAGTAAAAAATAAAAAAGACAAAAGTATTGTGGGCACCTTAAAGACTAACTGTGATACAATCTAGCAGTTCGTCTTTAAGGTGCCACAATATTTTTCACTTCTTTATAGACAATATTTATATCAGGTTTACTTAGCACCTTATGAATATTTTGAGTCTGACCTAGTTCACTGCAGGCGTAACATTTGAGGACAGAGAGAATGTCAGAAGATGCAGCAGCATGTGCTCCCTCACCCATTTTCTGCATGTTTAGAACTTAGCATGTGAGACCAGTTTCAAGAATTCGTCTCATGTTTCCCTTTTGCAGAATGATTTTGTCTTTTTTCTGCTGGAAGCCGTAACGACAAGCCTTGCTGCCACATTCAACAACAGGGTATTTTCGTCAAACTTATTTCATCGACATAACAGAAACACATTAGAGAACCAAAAATAAATAAATATGGTGGCAAACTATTTGTCAGATCAATCTACTTATGAGAGCAAACGTTCAGATGAGTATCTGTATTCCACAGAGGTTATTTCAAAGACATTCAAAGTTCGAGGTTACCTTTTGCCTCAGAGCAAACGCCCAGGAATCCATCATCAGTCAAGACCCGGAAGATGGGTCTGACTCCGTATGTATCTCTTCCCAGAAACACTTTCCTGTTTGCAGTGTCAAGCAAAACGAATGCAAATACACCATCAAGCATGGAGGCTGTTTGCTCAATTCCCCCTTTGTCATAAAGGTGAAGGATTACCTCGCCATCTACTAAGGTCTGGTAATCAAATCCAAAATGTTTCTGCAGCTACAGGGGAGAAAAAAAGGATAGTTTAGTGTGAGGTTTTTTTGCTTTGTGTTGTTTGCAGAAGAAAAAGTTAATCACAGACACACACACACAAAAAAGGAATTTGTTATGCTTGAACATTTTTTCATTTAAGGGTGTGTACTCTCACAACGAAACTCTCTTGAAAAAAGAAATCCAAAATTAGAGTAAATCAAAGTGAATGGAAGAGCTGATCATACAGCCCATGCATGCGCATGAAATTGCATCTCCCTCATCTTACATTTCACAGCAACACCGGAGTTGTGTTTTCAGCATGCTTAGAATACATTTGAAAAGGTGGCCTTTTGCAGGTTTACTGTGTCAATATTTTACTGATTGTTTTAAATTGCTCAACCCAAAGGAAAAAAAATTCCCCAAGGAGATCCGGCAACTTTAGAAATTTCCACAGCAAGGACACCTCCCAATGATACGCTTCCCAATGTTCAAGCAGCATGCTTCAGCTTCTCATCTGAGCTGCTGTGTCTGTCACTATGAGGCACTGAACGGAAACTGAATCATCAAGGGCTGGCTTTCTCAGATGCCTATTGTCAATAACAGGCAACAGACCAACTAAATGGCAAAGTCTCAAAAAGATAAAAGATGCGTAAATGTGAGCAAGACAGATTAAACAGTATAGACAAAATATAGTCAGCTGCTGTTTCAAACACTGGAGATGCGAAAGTACATTTTGATCTGTCAATACGTGCCATCAAGTTGGGACCGACTTACAGCAACCCTAATAGGATTTCCAAAGTAAGTGAGATACTGTATTTAAGGAGCAGCTTAACAGTGAGGCTAAGAAAAGTTGACGGCAGCTTGGTCACTAATACAGCTTTGCTTGTCATATGCTGACTTGAGCTTTGAAGGTATATGACACACTGGAAGACTGGCTTTACCAGTGCCGCTACACACACATGAGTTTTCATGGCATAGCAGGGCCTTGAACCTAGGTTTCATCAGTCCCAGGTTGTCATTCTATCCACTACACCACACCCAGTATGCTGTGAATAGCATACTGTAGAAGAATTAAGTGTGTGTACAACTTTACAAAAACAGGCTTTGCAAACGTAACATCTTCTAGTGCTATGCTTAGTATCTCTTTAAGTATTTATTAACCTCAGTTCAGATCTGAATTTATACTTCTGCAACGGAGTTATTTGCATCTGCCATAATTGCAACTCCTCATAGGCACCTTCTGGAGCAAGCTTGTGGCATGTCAGAGGATACAGCGAGAGAACGGGCAGAAAGTCCCAGTTCTGTTGCCAGTTCTTGATATTGAAGGATATCATTGCATCTTTTGCTTGCTTGCTTCCTTCCCACTGTGTCTCTGTGTCCCATTTTAAGCTCCTTGCATAGGCACCCAATGAACTATTGAAAGGTCTGGCAGTTTTGCATACGGGAAATGGTTCAGGTTTTTTGGGGGGGCTGATTTGCAATTTTTTCATTGATCACAAAGAGAAATGCAATTCAATTCGGACTCACCACTCCCCCAAATCTGCAGTTTTTTCATCACTTAAAAGTGAATCAATTTGCATTGGTTCAGATGATGTGCTTGCTTGATCCAAAGAAGAAAAGTACAGGGAGGGGCACAAAGACCCAGTCATTTCTTTTTTTAAAAAAAAAACACAGTGAGAACAAGAGGAGAAAATTGGCACTCTGTCATTGTTCACAGCTCCTTGCAGCCTAATAAGCTTTTCTAAAGCTGCACCACTTGCTGGGCTACAGGACAGCTGCATTAACAAGCTGCAAACAAGGTTTTCCTCCTCGCTTTCTGTATGGCTATTTAATTCAAATTGACCTGGGAAAATCCAAACTCCCTGGTGCAACTTCACTGTGAGTAAACATGAGTGAATTTTCACAGGGAGTGAATACAAGTGAATTCACATTTCCCTCACTGTGTAGTCACATCCTGAGTTAACTCTTTTCTCTCTCTTCTTGCCTCTCATCTTATCTCTTTGTTCTCATGTAGCAGCCTACTACATGGGGAGGGGAACAGATTGCTCTTGGTCATGATTTGAGCTGTAAAGTACTTTTGAAAGCAGGATGAGAACTACTGATTGCCAACCCTTGATTCTAACGAATACATATATTGCTCATGCAAGGCAACACTGGAACAAAAAAGCATCAGATAATGGTTAAAGGGTGTCAAAATAAGCACTGAAGAAGGCATCTCTTATAATAGCTCTTTACCTGCTTATAATTATATATTTCTCCATTGTAGCACAGCCACAAATATGGAAATTTCTTCACCCTTATAGGCTGCATTCCATATAGCTGATCAACAATTGCCAACCGGTGGAAGCCAAAGCAGCAGTTGGTGAATCCATTAACATTCTCAAAACGAAATGCATCTGGGCCTCGGTGGGCTATTTTCATGGCAGATAGACACTGAACAGAGAGGCACCCATCGCTCCCAAAAAGGGCCCAAATCCCACCCATAGTTGTATCTCTTTGAGACTGTTGGGGAAAAACAAGATAGTCTTAGATATAACCTGATGTTTCTCTCTTAATAGCAATCAGAATGTATCAGTATAAAGAAGGGTATTCCACAACTTGCTTTATCAAATATGCATAGCCAAAAAAATCATTATATTTCCAAATTGTTATTAAATCTACAAATAAAATATAAATATGCTTGTGAAGACATATACCACAGAAAAAAGCCAACAATGCTGGCAATGTTTTTACAGCTTCTAAGCTATATTTTGATGAGTGGGGGACAATTTATTTTTTAAATCATTAGTTAAAACTTTACATTTTATTTCAGATTCAACAGCATGTTAGTAATGAAACATATTTTAGAGTCATATCTGTAAATTATTTCAGTTTTCATAATAGATAGAACAGGAAGCTATTTAATTTTGTATGCATTTTGTTTTTATATACTTATTCTACAAATGTATTCGCCATCATTCAGTAATTTAAAAAAAATCTGCCAGCTTCATAAAGTTTCAGAATCATATGGCTATGCACTTCTGCAACAATTTCCAGAAAGACATAGGCAAATCAGGAAATTGTAGAGCTGGAAGGGATCCCAAGAACCATCAATTCCCACCAAAGCCAGAAAGCCACATCTAAAGCTTCCCAACACATGGTCCTCTAACGTCCGATTGGAAACCTCCAATGAAGGAGAACCCACCAACTTCCAAGGTGGTCCATTCCATTGCTGAACAACTCTTAACTATCAGCCATTCTTCCTAATTTTTAGTTGAAGTCTTCTTTCAAATCCAGTTGATTGGCTAGAGAGTTAGTCCCATTTAGAATAGAGCCAAGCAGTCTAAAGCTAAGCTAAATTACAGCTAACTAGAGTCCCCTTAACTTCAAAAGCTCAGATAAATATGTGCAAAACTGGACTAATCCCATTGTTCAAAGATATACAGCACATTTACCCACTTTTCAATAAATTTTACTTTGAATATAGATTTTGTTAAAAATGAATTTGTCATTTTTAAAAAAATGACCACTGAAGGATTCAGAACTGAAATGAAATCTGGTTTAACTCAGTAGAAGAACATGTGTAACAAAGAACATTTATTTCACATTTGTGTACCACACATTCCACAGGATGGTAATTTTTAATGAAACCTTTGACATGTTTTTACTACTACATGATCTTTTCAAGACTGCGATACTTGGGGATTCTCCTCATTACACAACAGTATTTACAGATCCATATCATGGTGTAATCTGCAGGTATTATCTTTGCCATCATCTCCATTCAGTTAAAAGGCAGAAGTTATGCTTGGTTAAGAACCTCCCTCTTCTAGGTGATCCTGATTGTATGACTAAATCATTCCGGCCATGCAGTCAGACAGTTACAGTCTTTCATGGCACTGAGTCAAGCACATGGCAGACTAGGTTAGGCCCACAAAAGACCTTCTTCACGGCAATAACACTCACCTAGGATGAAGAAGGAACACACAGTTGCTAAAAATCCCAATTTATCTCTCTGACAATGCTATCAAAGTTTTTTGTTCCATATGCCTGGAAAGATAGTTAGAAAGAAGCCACTCTGCCCTCCTGCCAGCAATGATTGCCCGTTTTCAAAAGAAGTTTTTGCTGGCTTTTGTATTATTCAGCTGTTAATTACAATGTACACGTTATAATTTGAAGTACTGTATATTGTTTTTAAATACACTGGGAGGACTCCTTAGAACAGCCTTTCAAAGAAGTAACTTTTCCAAGCTTTGTTGGCCGTCCTGGGCTTTTGAAAGAAATAAAATAAAATAGGAACAAAATCTGGATCCAGTTTGGGTGTATAAACTTTATCAAAGTGGCCATGCCGGCTGTGCAAATTCTGTCCAAAATAGCAACTTCTCCTGTCTTTGCGCCTGTTTACCTAGCAGTGGTTCCCATTCTTGAGTAAGCCAGGTGTTCTTGGACTGCAATTCCCAGAAGCCTTCACCACCAGTTGTGCTGACTGGGATTTCTGGGAGTTGCAGTCCAAGAACAGGTGGGCTACCCCAGGTTGAGAATCCCGACATACAGCATAAACCGCCCAGAATCCAACCACCTGGGGAACAGGTGGCACATAAATGCAAGGAAACAAATAAAATAAAGGAACTTTTGTCCTGAACTGTTTTAAGGGGCGGCGGGTGTGTGTGTGTGCTGTGGGCCGAACGTTGCCCACCTCGGATCTAGACAAATCGCCAAAGGACTAGGATTGATTGATTAGGAATACCACGATCAAACCATTTTAATTTCACCTCAACCATAAGCCTGCCCCACCTTGTTTCTCCATTGATCTACAGGGACCAGAGAGAGACGAGAGGGAGTTGGCCAGAATACACACACACACACACCCATATAGTTCTTGATTAACGCATGGAAAAGACTTGGGTGTTCACGGCCGCCAGAAGTTCAACAGGTGTGGCTTCCTCGACATTAGCAACGATGGGTGGGACTGCTGAACCAGATTCTCGTCCGGCAGCTGTTAAAGCCACATCTGGCAAAGAGCAACGGCCACCATCCCAGCTTCAATAGCTCGGCTGCCGAGACACACAGCCCTTCCCCCCCGTTACCTCAGGTCAGCAACGCCGGCGATGATCTTTTCCCCCACAAGCCAGGGCAGCCTACACAGTAGCCGGGTCGGCCGTTGGATCCGGTGCCGCTCGCTCCGGCACGGAAAAGAAAGCGGAAGCCGTCGGCAGCTCCAGCCAGCCTTTGGCGGCGCTACCGCAACGCGGCCCCGGATTGCATCAGCCTGTGCTCCGCCCCGGGGCCTTGGGCTTTCCGGCTCCAGAGGCCGGCCGGCCGGCCGGCGGCCCTCGCTTGTGGAGCCTTCGAAACGTTGCGGGGTTCTGGCCGCAAATCAAATCAAATAAATAAATAAATTTTATGAGGTGAGGGTCACAGAAGGAGAACGAGCGAGAGGCTACAGATACAAAGCGGGCGCCAATGCACCAAAGTGTGTTCTCTGATAAATGCATCCGTCTTTTAAGGTGCCACAAGGTTCTGTAACCCTTTGCTCCAGAATTAAATATTTTATTTCCAAATTATTTCAGGTGCGAGGAATTGCAAGTTTCCCTATTCAGCACTCTTATCATCATCACTGGCCATGATCTCTCTTGGCCCTAGAGGATGATCCTGGAAAGGATCTATCCCGGGCAGGCAGTTTGAAAGGAACTTACTCCCAAGTTGTTCTACCAAGAAAACCATCCATCCCAAAATTTCCCCATTCCACCAATCTTTATAAATTGTGGTGGAGCACGTTGGATTCTGTATGTGTTGAAGTGAGGGAGAGGAGGAGTCATTTTGGTCCGATGAGTTACAAAAAAGCTTACAAAGAAGCTTTCCTGGCCAGCTGGGACCAGCAGATTGCACTTGCTCCACCGCTGTTTTGAAGTGAGTCTACCCTCCTGAAGAGCATGTCTGAATCATCCCTTTGTGGACAGGGGATGGAATAAGACACTAAAGATGCTACTAATTGCTCATGATAGATAATTTGCATTAAAATTCTTAGTGATGTAAATAATTATCAGTAATCTGGGCTGCCCAATTGCTTGATTTGACTAAGGTATTTCCACAGTTTAGTTGGGGATGTCCCTGGTTAATAGCTGGTATCTGTGTTTAGCTGCTAGCAGTAAGATTACTGTTGAGATGGGTACTCTCAGGGCAGAGGTACTACTGACAGAAAATTCCCTTGAAAATATATAGTAAGAGATCAAATCAACAATCAGTGGATGAAAATAAAACTCATCTCAGCAAGTCTGCGTATAGTTGGTATCCTTTAATGTTGGTGGATCAAAAAGCCAGTTAGTTATTTTAAAACATCAAGGAAGTAAAGCCAGCAGTATTTTTTATTGTGGGGGTTTTAAATTTTAAACTTGTAAAACACCCACAGTAGTGCTTTTCTTCAAATCCGGCTCCCAACAACTCCCATATCAAGGAAGTAAAGCCAGCAGTATTTTTTTATTGTGGGGGGTTTAAATTTTAAACTTGTAAAACACCCAGAGTAGTGCTTTTCTTCAGTTCCGGCTCCCAACAACTCCCACTGGCTAATACCATTATATATATAGGAAGACAGGGTGTTTGCTACAGGCTATTCTGCCCTTTCCAGATTAAAATCAAGGGGAAGGGTTTTTAGAACATCTGTGAATCTTGAAGAAACAACAGAATGCCATGGCTACCTTGTGGAAAGAAAGAACTACCCACTTCTTCACATGGATGGGCCCCAGGAAAGTGGTCGCATGGAGAACAATGTCACTTGGAATTTCCTGCATCGTGTATGGACTGGAGTTCGCTGAATGAATGTTAACCTAAGAAAATGGGGGTTTGCCACCAACACAGTTCTCTGCAAGTGCACACGATATACAATGTTACTCCTATGTCAGTGTACTCTATGTCCCTTCATAAGAATTATGGAAGATCTTACCTTAGCTGCCCCAAATAGCTTATGTTGCTCATTATTAAGTGGAGATTATCTGACATACAGTGGGGTCTTGACTTGAGAACTTAATCCGTATTGGAAGGCGGTTCTCAAGTCAAAAAGTCTGTAGGTCAAGTCTCCATTGACCTACAGTGCATTGAAAACCGATTAATCCTGTAACAGGCCGTTTTTGTTCCATTTTGGTTTTTTTCTGGTCTGTAAGTCAATTCTCAGGCTGCAAGTCAAACCTAAATTTTGCGGCCAGAGAAGTCTGTAACTCAAAAAGTCTGTAAGTCAAGCCATCTGTAAGTCAAGGGTCCACTGTATTTATCTAAGGTTTACACTATATTACATTCTATTAATTGTAATGTGGTATTTCTCATACAAATAAAGTTCTATTAATTTCATAAGGTAACACTAAGATTTGTTTAACCATTATGTGACATTTTGTGGACTGTGAAAGTTTCTGCCTAATAAATCTGGTAGTCTTTAATGTGCCACAAGACTTTGTTGTTTTTACTGCAGGAGACAGGCAGTGCAGTCCCAGCTCGTTATGCTAGATATAGGTCTTCAAAGGGTAGTCAGGTAAGACTATGCAGACCTACGTAGGCAGTTGATGAGACACTGAGCACAATTCATCAGTAGCAGCAGTTTAGACAACTTTCTGGCACTCATACAGGTCCTAACACATTTGGAAAAATAAATAAAGGCTTCATGAACTTGTCATTGCAGTTCACCTTCTTATTCATTTGCTGGATAAATAACTGAATTGTGTAATGTTGGCCAACTCACAGCTGCCTAAAGTACACATTGCCTTAAACTCCAGAAGGGACCAGAACCTTAGTTGTTGCTATACAAACACTCTGATTCATAACAATGGTTCCTCATTCATCACAAAGACAAACAGGATTCAAGGGGTGGTGTTTTTTTTAAGGAAATGAAAAGGAAAGCTGCTTAAAAGACACCAAAGGTTAATTAAACATGGGAAATCAAATACATTTCTAAATACAATTTTATTTTATTATACGTATGCAAGTACTTCCTCCTCTACATAGGTTTCACAGCTCATTGGGTTATTCTATTAAATGAACCTGAACACTGCAGTCAGACTTATTCCCATGTTATAACTTTATAACTGGACTTGGAGAAAATCTTTTATTGTAGTGCTTGCACATACCTAGTATTGCTGCTATTTAGGTGGTGCAATTTCTTCTGTGTCATTTAAATGTGGCCTGCTGGGCAGAAATGCAATAGGTGTAGATTGGCCAATATTAAAATATGGAGGGGGGGGAAATAACACCTATTGAACATCTCTCTCTCTCACCTCTACTAAGTGAAAGTATTACAGCCACTAACCATCATAAGAAATGCCTTCAAATTAATTAAGATTTTAAAAAGTGCATCAAAATAAACTAGATATCTTTGTCTCTTTCTCCAAAGTAGCCTAATCAAAAGACATTACTTTTTGCACACAGTTTTTTCTGCTAGGCTTCATGGATTCCAAACTAGAATATCTGATTCTGACTCCAGAAGGTTTTGTCCATTCAGTGTACGCAAATTGCTTCAAAAGGAAATGCTCTCAGGGAAAAAATGTTACAATTAGTTTTCAGATAAGTGACGTCAGTGCTGTAACAATCAGATAAAGTCTTAAAGTATATATTGAGATGAATGGCAGATACATATAGTTTGAAAACTAAATGGAAACGTACAGTTTATTCCTCGACATGGCTATTGAGTAAACTGTTTAAAAGTGAATGGGACTTCCAGAACAGTGAATAAAAGATTGCAGCCCTAAACTGTGAGTAATGTATAAGATTATAGTCCAACATCATATATTCTAGAAAGCTGCAACAGAGAGAGAAAGAAGATACGAAGCGGGGTCATAAGACTTCTTCTTGCCATTTGGAAGCAGGATATCTATACTTTAAGCATGTAAACAAGTAACTTTCTTTTGAAAGTTTTTTGATACTCCAGCAAGATACATGCAAGTAAGCAATCTTCTATGTTGGTCAGCTATGTTCTTTCCTTTTCTGTTCCATTACCACCTGCTTTTTGCTACTGTAAATAATTTTACTCATTCTGTTTTCCTCTATGTCTGAACCCTCGTCCAAATGTATGCAGTGCTATAGATCAAGTCTGGGTTTTCATTTAAAATTTTAGATGGGCATTTTCCCCATAGTTTGGTCTATTGTAGGGACAGGCTGGTTTGCTCCAGATTACATAATTGCTAGAGCGAAGCAGCCCAGCCCCAGAACACGCCTACCTACACCTGGGTCCCTGTCAGGGGATACTCTTTTTTGGTGTAGGTACAATTGCTTCATATTGGTTTGTTTCCAGCACATGTGGTCACTGGGATTGAACCAAAGAAGAGCTTGCTGCTTTAAATTTCCCTTCCACTTTCAATTCTCCAATATTGTGAACTAACTAAGTCAATTTCCATTTTGATTCCAAAGTTAGACAAAATTGGTCCTTTTAGGCTGATATGGTGACAATACTCTGAGTTATCTAGGGTGGTCACTAAATGCCTCACTCAGTTGTTTTCCTCTAGCTTGTGATGGATAGTAACCTACTCAAAAGAGAAACCAAGGCAAGTGCTTTGTTTATACTACTCAGTAAAGCAACATATAAATGTACACAATAACAGTAATATAGTAGCAGTTACATCCTATTTTGTGTCACTATATTAGTGATGATGATGATGATGATGATGATGATGATATTAGTGATGATGATGATGATGATGATGATGATGATGATGATGATGATGATGATGATGAAGCCAATTAGGCATGTAGCACTACTTTCATAATCATTAGTTATAAATAAATTATGGAGTAGCTTTTTCTCCCCTAAGCACTCTACAGAGACATAACAAGCCTATACTATAGATACTATCTAACAAACATGATAGAAATAGGAAAAGGAGTGGGGAGATCTTTCCTCCCTGGCCCCTTCTTTCAAAGGCTTGCTGCCCTAGAACTAGGGCAGCAAATCAAAGGAAGGGAGGGAGAGAGGGGAGGGGAAGATGAAAGCAGACGCATGCACCAGATGTGGAAAGCAAAGGATTAACAAGTTGGAATCAAGACTGATTTCCTCCCCCTTTTTTACTCCCGGGTTGCTGGAAGCAAATTAACACAGGGGAACTGGACTTCCTAGGTGCTACTTCACAGTGGATCCATTTGTATTTTTCCTGCTGTGTAGCAGTACCCTTAGTAATGGGTCTTTTTGTAGCTTCATCCAACATTACTCCCCCTCTCCTGTCTCTCTAAGTTTAGCTGCAGTCTTCACAGTAACTGGAAGAAAAATGAATGCGGAACAATGTATTGTTGCAGGTTATCTGTTTTGTGATGCAAAGGTAGATTGGGATTTGAATTGAGAGCTCTTCACTTTATAAGAGATCTGCTCATTGATTGATATAGACTAATTTAACTGCCAACAATATGGACTCTTAATATGGGGGAGGGATGGGCTATGAGGGTTGTTGTGATAATCACCTGCACTTTCAAATTTACCACTACTATTATACCTGCGGTCTTCTTCATCATCCTCTTGTTATGTGCCATCAAGTTGGAAATGGCTCATAGTGATCCTAATGGGGCCCTTGCAGTAAGATACAGTATTTAAGGAGTGGTTTTATTACATCCACATCCCCAGTGAATTTCTGTGGCTGAGCAAAGATCTGAACCCAGCCTGTTGAATCCTAATCTGGCACTCTATCCATTACATCACACTATCATCAGTGACCTTGAGTGATCATGAGTATCATCTAGCCACTTAGCATGTGCAAGTGGACAATTTGTGATCCCTTCAAGTGTCACCTACTATCAGCCCTAGCCAATGGTGAAGGATGATGAGGCTTGTGCTCACTCACCCCATGCAGAGGATGGCAGCATTTTTCAAAACAAAGCTACTACCTTCAGCAGCAACTCTGAACACAGGTGCACGAGGACAACACATCCAAGCTAAAAACATTAGTGATGAACTTGCGATGGTTGGGAAGCAAGACCGCTCGTTTTCAGTGGTTTAGATACCCGGCTGAGGAGCCAGAGGTTGGGAGTTCGATTCCTTACTGTGCCTCCTCCACATGGGCTGGACTGGATGACCCCCCACCCCCAGGGTCCCTTTCAGCTTTTCCGCTTTAAGATATTATTTAAAGTCAGAACGAGTGAGTCTCCCGATACGACATGCGTTGATTGTGAGGAAAGGAAGCCCTCTCGGGCTCTCCTACAAAGGGCTTCCAGTTATTTCTCCCTTCGTGCAATTGTGTGAAATATGCGCCATTGAGGAAAACAGTACATGTTCCC